GCGGGCGCCGGGGCCGTTAGCAGGCCGCACGCACGCGGCTTTCCCGCCTCCTGCGCCCGAGGCGGCCCGGCCCGGCCCAACCTTCCCTTCCCCGCCTCCCGCCCGCCAGGTCACCTCCGCACCTCACGAGCTTCATCCTAGCGGCGCCGTCACCCTTTCGGCCTGGTAGCGCGTAAGTTACAACCAGGAGGACCCAGCGGCCGGGCGTATGAATGGCCGGAAGCGCCTGCTGCAGGGGCTCCCGACGTAAAGGGCGCGCGCAGCGCTGCGGACGCAGGGCGGAAACGCCGCTCTCCTTCCGGCCGCGAGGAGCGCCACGGCGGCCCCTAGTGACCGGAGGACTGCGTTGCAGCTGCTGGGGGCGGGAGGGCTGGTTAGGAGGAAATTTACTGCGAGAGGGAGATTTGAAGACTTAAATCCGGTTAGCAGGCCTGTCACACCAAATAGAACTTGATCTGATCAAAGACAGCCTCAGAGAGAGGCTCAAAAGAGTCTCCCAATTCTGTTCCGACACCAGCAGGAACCTTAGCATTACTTAATGCACCTGAAGGCAATCACATAATTCAGCTGATTATTTTCACTTTGAGTTCTAAACTCCAAAAAATTTTTTTATGCCTTCACCATTTGCAACATCGCGACACCATTTAATTCAAACATTCCTCTTGAAACACGTTATTCTCTCGGCCCCCAGGGTCCAAGCACACCTGCATTTCCTCGTGTCCCGCTAGCTCTTCTTTCTTCTCCAGCTAACTTCTTACAGTTCTTTCTCCGGTAGCTTAGGTAGTCCCCAGAACGATGGCTTTCGTCTGTGTCTCTTAATGTGGACTTCATCCCTGATCACTTGAACTTTTTTGGGGAGGGAGACATTAGGAATTGAACCCAGGGCCCTCACATTAATATACCTCCCCAGTCCTTTTTATTTTTTATTATTTTTTTTTAAATTTTGAGATAGGGTTTCACTAAGTTGCTCAGGGTGGGCTCCAACTCAGGATCCTCCTGCCTCAGCCTCCTAGAGTGCTGGGATGACAGGCTTGCACCACCATGCTGGGCTTCACCAGAACTTTTGTATGTTGCAACTCAATGCTCATTAAACTTTAATGTACAGAGGACTCACCTGAGGAAAGTAAAATGAAAGTTTTGATTCAGTTGTTGTGGGGTCTGAAATTTTCTGGGGGTCTGTCTCCAGCACTGTGGGACCACTGAGCTGCATCCCTGCCTTTTCTTTCTTGTTTTTCTTTTCCTTTTTTTTCAGACACTATGTTGCTAACTTGCCCAGTCTGGCCCTGAATTTGTGATCCTCCCCCCACCCAGCAGGTAGGAGTACAAGTGTGTGCAAGCACACCCAGAATATTCTGCATTTTAAACTAGCCTTCATTTGATGAAAATGTCCCACTGTGGACCACGATTTCAGCAGCAACGCTATAGTGCATACTGGTGTGTTGCTTTTTCAACACCCACTGCTCGCGTCCCAAAACTTCCCAGGACTCTTCTGTTTCCTGGCGCTCTAGAAACAGACTCTACCTTTTATAGCAGGGATCACATCGCACCGCCTGATCACAATTGGCTTGGCATCTGAGCAGATCCAATCAGACCTCTCACATGGAATTTTCTTCTCTTTGAGATGTAAATAGAGGGGTTAGCTGTCCCCAGAACTATTGGGAAGTTCCTTAGAAACAAGAAAACCAGTCTCAGAACTGAGAAACGTTTTGTTTTTTTTTTTCCTATGTAGTTCAGGCTGGTCTCAAATTTTCAGTCCTCCTGCCTCAGCTTCCCTAGTGCTGAGACCATGTGCCACCACAGCCAGCTATGGACAGTTTTAAATAAACCACACACATGATGATATTAATTAGTAAATCCTAGATGTAAAAGAAAAAGTGCTTGGATGTGCCTATTTAAATTGAAATTAATAAACAAAATTAAAAGTTGGGCATGGTGGCACATGTTTGAAATCCTAGCACTAGAGAGGCGGAGGCAGGAGGATTGCCGAGGGTTTGAGGCCCGCCTGGCTACACAGTTCAAGGCCAGCCTGAAAAACAGTGAGTCCCTGTCTCAAAAAAAAGTTAAAAATTCAATTCATCTGTTGCAATAACCACATTTCAGGTACGCAACCATCAAATGTGGCTCTACCTACAGTGCAGACATAGAATATTTCCATAATCCCAGAATTTTTTTTTTCTTTTTTGTCTTTCTGAGAAAGGATTTAGCTATGCATTTCAGGCTGGCCTTCAGTTCACTTTGTAGCCCAGGATGACCTCAAACTCACAGCAATCCTCCTGCCTCAGCCTCCCACGTGCAGGGATTACAGGCCATTACAACCAGCACAGAAAGTTTGACTGGATAGTGCTTCTTTGTCTGTTACCATGTTTGATTTGTTATTGACATTATTTTCTTACTGAATTACTGTCTGAAGTGAGGAAGCAAACGTCTGAAACCAGGAAATCGCGTATGTCCTGTCCCCTGCAGCCACATCTGCACTTGTGTCTTGCACATTTGTGTCCTTTTTCCAGCACCCCTCTGCCCCCGAGTATGAGAATGCACCCCACTGTGCCATGAGACTGAGAGGGTGGGCAGACCGAGGAGTACACAGATACAGTTTACACGGTTTCGGGGGCAGCAAGACCGTTTGGGTCAGCAGATGGGGGCTCATAAAGCCATCCACGCCAGATGTACCTTGTAACATCAGAAAGTCAGGCACATTCCCGGTGCCAGGCACTGGTGGTAAAGTTCTAGCTACCACTCTAATGCTTCTGTCTTTTTACAGTGTTCTGGGAAACTAGGGAAAACGGACCAGGGCTCCTCACAGGCAAGGAGGGTGGTGACCACTCAAGATGGCTGCCGTCACATCGAGCGGAGGCAGCTCTGCTGGGCAAGTAACTGAACGCTCTGCCCGTTGGAGTGGGCCTTCTGTGGGAAGGGAGAGCTTGCATACTGTCCCCAGGACGGTCCCCAGGCCTGAGCGCACCGCACTCCTCCCTCTTACCACCAAGGTCCACCCCACTCTGGGCTTTGTCTATCTTTCTTTTTTCTTTCTTTCTTTGATACTGGGAACTGAACCAAGGTCTTTCACACTGAGCTACATTCCCATCCTTTTTTGTACTTTTTATTTTGAGACAGGGTCTGAGCCTAGGCTGGAACTTGCACTCCATCTGCTTCCCTGTGTCCGAGTGCTGAGATTGCAGGCATGAGCCCGCATGCCTGGCTTCTGCCCACCTCTTCATCCATCCTTCCTCCCTCGAGTACAGACTCTCCTGGAAAAGTTCTTTTCTTAGCAGGGGAGAGTCTTTTTGAGACAGGGTCTCGCTGTGGAGTTCAGGCTGGCCTTGAGCTCACTTTGTAGCCCAGGCTAGTCTCGAACTCACAACGATCCTCCTGCCTCAGCCTTCCAAGTGCTGGGATTACAGGGCTGCACCACCACCCCTGGCTGTGTACAGTTCTTTAATCTTTTTTGTTTGGTTTTTCTTCCGGTACCGGGAATCGAACTCATGACCTTGTGCTCGCCAGGCAGGCGCTGTGCAGCTGAGCTAAATCCCCAGCCCCTAGTTCTTTAATCTTGCTAATACCTACCCATTCTCAAGTATGTGGGACCAGCTTAATTACGTGAAGATGTTAAAGAGGACTCTCCCAGAAGGCAAACAGAAATGCCATTGTCAGTTCATCTCTAACAAATTGCTGTCATTTTTCCTTGTCTTTATTTTTCAGCTTGAATTTAAAAAAAAAAAACTTCAAAAATTTTTTTTAAAAATTACTCTCATAGGATGAAACTGTCCAGAATCCCAAAGGGTGGAGCCACCAAATAAAGGCCCTGACTTGCTGCTAGCAGGAGGGTCAGTGTGAAAGCGAGATGGTGCTGTCCACTAAGAAAAGCAAGGGCTGGGTGTGGTGGCACACCCCTGTCGTCCCAGCGCTCGAGAGGCTGAGGCAGGAAGATCAGCACAAGTTCAAGGGCAGCCTGGGCTACACAGTGAGACCCTGTCAAAAAATAAATCAGTTAAATAAAGAAGTGATTCTATAGTATGGGGTCAGCAAGGAAAGCAAACAATTTAAACAAGCACAGGAAAAGACAGTTCACGGGGTTGAGTTCAGTAAGTTTGTAGAGAAGGGCTCACAGTTCTGGGCTGTGAGAAAGACCCTCGTCATTTACAAAACCAGGTCGTAGCCTTTGTGTCTTGCGCTTGCAGGGACACTTGGCAAGGCAGGATTTTCTCAGGGACAGAGGCCTTGCTTTTGGATGCAGGCAGTGTGCTGCAGTCTCTGTAATCATTTCCGCTGGGTGTCAGGACCAGGTACTGAGATCGAAGCCAACGCGGCTGGGGTAAGAGCTGAGTGTCCACGTCCTGCTGACACACTTTGAGCCTGGAGTTTCCGGACGCCTGAGGCCAGCTGCCCCCACCGCTCGGAGATGCGGTAACAACAGCCCTTTTTAAAAAATGTTGCTTATGTTGGTTTTGGCTGGATCTCAGTCATTTTCAAGCTAACCTTTTCCTTGCATTATCAAATACTTTTTTTCTCTAAATTGAATATCTTCCTATATCTTCCTTTTTCAGTCATTATCTGAGAAAATATTTTCTTGCTGGTCCCAGGTCCCTTCTGAACTAAAACTTGTTTTTCTTTCTTTCCACTGTACTTTAGACTTCACATCAGTTCAGTGCTAGGCTTCTTGTGGGCCATTATTTGCAAAACCCGAATTCATTGCTCTTTCGTGGAAGAGACTGAAAGTTCAGTCAAGGAAGCAATTTATTCAATTGATCATGGTTACTGATTAGTGGACAACCAAACTAAATGAACCAACTGTGCAAGGGGACACGGGTCTGTAGTCCCAACACTCTGGAAGGCTGAGGCAGGAGGATCGAAGTTTGAGCCCAGCCTAGGCAATTTAGCAAAACGCTGTCTCAAAATAAAAACATTGCTGGGCGTGGTGGTGCACACCTGTAATCCCAGCACTTGGGAGGCTGAGGCAGGGATCGTTGTGAGTTCGAGACCAGCCTGGGCTACAAAGTGAGCTCAAGGCCAGCCTGAACTGCTTAGCGAGACCCTGTCTCAAAAAGAGAAATAAGAACATTTTTTAAAAGGGTTGGGGATGTAGCTCACTGTGAAGGCCCTGGGTTTAATTCCCAGTATGGGAAACAAAACAAAAACCCCACATAAAGCAAAAAACAAAACAAGGAGAAAATGAGCTTGGGACAAGTAATAAAAGAAGACTGGTTAAAGCTGGTTATGTACCAGGGAATTTGACCTATGTTTAGCTTGATCTTTGACATGTCAGATAGCTGGGGGGGGGGAGTTCTCCTGCAGAAGTGAAATACTTTATCTTTTCTTCTTTTTTTTTTTTTCTGGTACCAGGAATCGAACTCATGACCTTGCGCTTGCCAGGCAGGCGCTGTGCCACTGAGCTAAATCCCCAACCCCCTCTTTCTTTTCTTGAGATACTTTCACCATGTAGCCCAGGTTGGCCTCGAACTCACTGCGATCTTCCTGCCTCAGCCTTCAGAGGAAACGCTATCTTTAGAATATGACACAAAGTATGGATCAGGGAGTGGGTGAGCAGGCAGGTCCTTGCTAAATGACACAATGCACAGTTATGTGGGGAACAGCCTCCCTGCCAACTTCTAACCCACAAAATCTCCTTTCCCAAGCTGCCAAGCCGCTCATTAAAGTTTTGTATAAGATACGTGTCCGAAGGCATAGGGCTTGACAAACTTGGAGCACCTTTTGGTTGTGCGGCTTCAAAAAGGAGGGCAGGAGGGGCAGAGAGAACCCACTGAGGAGGGGTCTCCCTTCCTGTCCTGACTGTGCGAGCACCCACTGTCTGTCCTAGGGTTCCTCAAGGGGCAGCAGAGAGTGTGTTTAAAAACAGCGTGAGAGTCACAAATCCTAGTGCTGGAACTCTGGGTTGGTTCCGGAAAGCCAATCGTCATCGCAACACTAGCCCTGAGCAAATCCAGAGGATCAGTCTACATTTTCTTATAGGTTCTTGTGCTCCGATGCAGGAAGAGGTGTGTAAGAAAAGGGTGAAGCCCTGAGTTTGTTGGTTGTGTTAAAGTGTAAAGGAGAGGGTCAATTAGCACCCTCTGCCTTGAGGCCTGGTCTCCCTGTGCAGCTCTGGCTGGCTTGGAACTCCCGGTGATCCTCCAGCCTCAGCTTCCAGAGCGCTGGGATTACAAGAGTATGCATCATCTTGAACCTTGTGCCTTAGCACTGAGCTACATCCCCAAACCTTTTAAAAATTTTGAGACAGGGTCTATTTAAGACACTAAATTGCCCAGGGTGGGCTTGAACTTGTGACCCTCCTGCCTCAGCCTCCCAGAGGGGTATTACAGGCGTGTGCCGCCATGCCCAGCTCTTTTATATTGGTCCCTCGTGGGAGATCAAAGGCTCTTGGTTTAGACACTGCAGATATCACCATGGGTTTCCAAGATAAACCATCACTGCAGCTGGGACCGGGTGTGGTTTTAACCCACAGGACCACGGGGAGGACCAGCGGTCGCCGCCAGGGGTCGCCACTGCCACCTCGCCCGGTGCTCACCCCCCGGGGAGCGCACGCAAGGCTCCCCATCGCGCCTGCGCCGGGGGCGGACGCGGGCTCTCCTTTACCCTACTCTCTGCCTTCTGGAGCGGGGTGAGAGTCCGTGCGACGCACAGCGAGCGTGCGGCCTTCTTCCACTGGTGGGCCTGTCTACCCAGCCGGCGGGGCCCAGACGAGCGCTGCGCAGGCGCGCAAGCTCGGCCGCAGGGCGCGCCCATCTGACGGGCGGGGCGTCGCCGCCGTCGCCGGAAGTTTGCGTGTGCGCCGCTGGGGGCGGGGGCCGCGGCGAGAGCAGCAGCTGAGCGCCTGCGAGACCCGGATGTGAGGCAGCTGCCGGCTGCAGTCGGACCCGCGGCCGGCCGAGCGGAGGTGCGCTTCCCTGATGGTCGCAGCGCCCGCGCCTTGCGCCTTCGCCAGAGCGTCTGCGGGGCCACGGCTGTCCTTCCTCCGCCCGTCCCCCTCGCTGTCGCGTGCTCCCGGTGCCTCTGCTGCTCGGCTCGCGCCCCCGGGAAGAAGGTGGGAGGTCGGCGGCGCCGTCGCCCGAGGTAACCTGCCCCCTGGCGCGTCACCTGCTGCCGCTCGCGGGCCGTCGTCGGGCAGGACGCGGGTTGGCGCCGGGGCCCACGGCGACTGCGGG